TTTACTTAACATTGTGTAATTTTGTTCTTTAGCATGAACCAATATTAACGTGTAACATTAACACGTTCGCTGATAGTTAAACAATTTCAATGAGTTGCAAAAAAGAAAAAATAAATAAACAATTCTTTCCTTTTTAAAATTAATTACGACCTCGCATAATAATAGCATTCATTCGTGGTTTTATTTTGCAGCAGACGATTGAAAATAAAAATATTATTTTTATAATACACATTTAAGTGTGTGTGTGTGTATTCGCGAACGTGTTAAAAATATAATAATATAGTGATATTAATATTTTTAAGAATACAATAATGGTGCTAAGAAATATATGTAGATTTTATTTATAGACAAAAAAAAATATTCTATTTCTTTCTCATCGATTTATGTTTGAATAATAATTCGATGATAATATATCCCGGTGCTATTATTCGATTTGAATAATTTTTTATTAAAATAACGAATGTTGGTCGTTAGAAATTATTCATGTAATTATATTAGGCCAATTTAAAGAAGAAGATAAAAAGTGTTATAATATTTTATACAATGCTCGATAATTCCCTTTTAGTTTTCTTAAACATTTATACAAAAGAAAATTTATAAAAACGAAATATTGTATGAGATGGTTAAGTAATAAAATAAAAAAAATACCACCATGTGTATAAAAGATATGTTTCTAATTGAAAAAAACATCAAACAAAATCAAACCAACGTTGGTTACGTTTTCTAATTTTGTGTGTGTGTGTGTGTGTGTGTGTGAACATGCTCAATATTTTTCTTTATTGAAGATTAGAACCTCGTGTATTAACATAAGATAGGAGGGAGGGAGATAGTTCATGTTGTGAGAGACAACCCAAGGCCACAGATCTGAATTTTAACAAACCCAACGTACATTCTTTTTTTCCCCCGGTTTATTTTTTTTTTTTTACGACAATGTATACCTAAAAAATTTTCCCTTTGTATCGCTAACAAAAAACATTCCATTGGAAATTCTTGGAACCTTTGAGTCACATCCGGTATACAATTGACTGATTTTTTTTTTCTCAAATCAATGAACCAATCAGATACGTAGACGTCAGTCAGTGTTCCTATCCAATGAGGAAGAATTTTGGTATCTTTTTCAAAAAAAAAAAAGAAAAAGAAACTGGCTTAGCTATGAGAATGAATAAATGCGGTATGAAAAGTGGGGGGGAGGGTTGAAATGGAAAGAAAAGAAAAATTTGGAAAGTAGAAACGATGGTCAAGTTTATTCAATCGAAACTTGCTTTAGTTTGTTGGGAACAGTCTCTGCGAACGTTTAGAATTTTTCTGGTTGAATTCTGAAATAGTTTTGTTTCTTTCGTTATTTGCTATTTATTAAATATTATTCGTCTATCATCTGTACGAACTACGATTGAAAAAAACATCACGTTTTTTTGAGAAGGGTAAGTAATTGAATTATTTTCTTTTTCTTTTTTTTATAAAAATCGTTAGAATTAAAAACGACCTTCTATTAAAATTATTTTTCTATTCAATTATATACTACCGATTAAAATTATTATTAAGATTGTTTTATTTTTTCATATATATATATCTTAAATTTTTATTATATTTTTATTATATTTTTATATTTATGTGTTTTTTTGGGGTACACGTAGGGTGTACACGTGCATGAAAATATTTGGAAATTATTAAAAAAATAATGTTTACCAAATGCTTAATTTTTTCATATACATATATATGAAAAAAAAAAAAAAACAAAATATAGGAAAAGATAGGTTTTCCTCTATGGGTTTTCCATCATGAATTTATATTTATTTTCTCAATCATCCCTAACGCGATATCACTTATCTTCAAAACTAAATAAATTTCTATAAAAGGAAGTAATACTATCGCACGTTTCATTTTGGGGATCCGAAGAAGAAGAAATTGATGTATGAGTGAAAAAAAAAAGAGAAAAAAAAAATCATTTCAGCTTCAGCATCATATACAATAACAATATAAATTTTAATATTGAAAATATATCAAATATATATAAAAATCTCTTAACAATTCGATCGAAAAATTATTTTAACGTATCGAAACTACCCCTACGAAATTAAATTAATATATTTAAAAATGTGTTGTATATATAAACGATATTTACAAAAAGAAAAAAAAAAACAATTTGAAACTTTATTTGATATTAATAAAGATAGATACGTTAAATTATTAATTTATCCTTATTATAGTAATCGTCCATTATAATGATATAGAAGCTGAACGATTTTAAAGTACGAAGTTCAAGAGAACGATGATACGGTCTCTTTACATTTTACCATTTCGTTTGTTATCTCGTTTATGCTTGAACCATCATTATCACAGAGCAAGCTGAGCCGATAACAACTCAACCAAGAATTAATGCTGAGAAAGTGCTGCCACTTAAAGTGCCGTTACTTGTACATACGTCCGTTAGTCTTCTTCGGTCCTTCAATCTGGCTTGCCAACGTATTCTTCTCTTTTATAATATGTATGTATATCAACATATAAATATATTAATATATATATATATTGGATATAGTATATAAGAGAATTTAATTTGTTAATAGAATTGAATTTTTTTGTGTGTGTCTACAATTTATTTATTACATTAATATCGGATTTATATATATTTTATATAGTTTTGTATATTATATTTTTTCATTTTTGTTTTTATTAATTATTTATTTTGTTTTTCTGATTTTTTTAAATACGAGCTTGTAATATTAAATATTTATCTGATTGATCTATAAAGACGTAATATGTAATATAAGAAATATTAATGTTTTGTATATTTAAATGAAGAATATTTAAGAACAATTAATATTATTATTAGTATTATTGTTGTTGATGTTGTTTGTTTATATATATTTAGGGAATATTGTTAAATATTAAATACTAAATAATTTTTCGTTCACATAATAAATATGAAATTTTTCAATTTGTTTAATATTCAAATTGCACGATATTTCGAAATGTTATTTTATTCATTGAATGGTCAACCAGATATATATATATAAAATATCAATATTTGTTTTACGTAAAACTATTTTATTTAAATGTATGCATTTTGAATTTACGAAATTGAATATACCGATGTGCGACAGTAATATTTCACGCAACAAGTGAATCGTTTTAGCTATTTCTATAGGATATAATTCAGAAGGGATGTTTAAAGGTATGACCATAGAAAACCGTTTGATCGAAAATTATAGCATTACAGTATTTCTCTCTCTCTCTTTCTCTCTTTTTCATATAATCGATATAATATATATTTTTTTTCGATCATTTTTCATTGAAATTTATCCAAGCATCGGTAGGTATAAATTTTCTTTCCAAACATTATATTTTTCCAATTCGAAAATGATGATATGTACCTGAACGAGAGAAGATTACTTTTTAATTATATTTTTTTTTATTAAATTTATTTAACAATATATAACGAACCGCGTGATATTTACAATAAAAAAAAAAATAAATTTATAATTCGAACGTCTCAATCTGATCATCGTATTACTCGTTTAATAATATATGTGTATTTATGTGTGTTTTCAAATAGAAATTAATTTAATATAATTCGAATAAAACTTTGAACAAATTGTTTTAGAATCGTATGATCGATAATTATCACTAAATACGTCTTACAATTAATGAAATTATTTTCAACACAAAAATTACACACACACAGCCATAATTTAATTTACTTTTATTTAATCTTTTCATGATATATAAAAATGATTAATTTAATAAAATTAATGGATAAATATTTAGGAATACATTTTGAAATAATTATTTTTTATGAAATATTTATATATCTGTAAAGATTGTTTTAGAATTGTATGATCGATAATTGTCACTGAATACATTTTACAATTAATGAAATTATTATCAACAAAATAATTACACGCACACACACAGCAATAATTCAATTTACTTTTATTTAATCTTTTCATAATATATAAAAATGATTAATTTATTAAAATTAATGGATAAATATTGAAGAATACATTTTGAAATAATTATAATGTATATATATATCTGTAAAAAAAAAAAAGATATATAAAATACATTGGGAAGAGGTTTTACATATTTACTAGATACTTACACACACGTAAAAGTAAAAAGCCGGTCGCGAATCGTATGCTTTTTTCTCTCTCTCTCGTGAAAACATGTTTGACCGCATAATTATTGCGACTGTCTTATTTTACTTTGTCAGACGTAGTGTTCACCGTATTATTTCTTGGTGCCGGTTTTCAGTCGAATTCTGACGAAAGTTTCGTGACGAGCTAACAGAAGAAGAAATATGGATGCAATGAAGACTGGCTGGTTCAGCGAGATAAACGACTTCTGGCCTGGTGTCTCATTGTCCCTTGAAGTTGAAAATACGTTACATCAAGGAAGATCGCAATATCAGGACGTTTTGGTGGTGCAAACGTTAGTGAATAATATTTTCCATAATTCCTATTTAACCAAATTCTAATTATTTTATTACATAAACAATTAGTAGACCTATTCCTATAATTGGATATATTTGAGATACTATTTTCAAGATTTTATTGTCATCAGTATTATTCTATCAATTAATTTTTAAATCTATCAATTACATTGAACACTTAATACTAATTCAAAATCAATTTTTAATTATACTTTCAACTATATTTTGTTAGGAAAACATAAATTCATTATGGTAGATTCTCTAAAGATTCAATTAACAATTTTTTTTTAAATTATATTTATTAAATTATAATTATTGTTCGTGTCGATATTTAAAGATGTAATCATTTGTAATAAATTTGTTAGGAATGTGTGTTTAACAATTAAAGTACGATATCATCGAAATTATATTCATTTTATTGACGTTTCAAATAATAACACAATTATTATTTCATTGATACAGAAAAAGTTATGGGAAAGCTCTGATACTCGATGGTATAATTCAGTGTACGGAAAAGGATGAATTTGCTTATCAAGAGATGATAGCGTTTATTCCATTGTGTAGTCATCCTAATCCGAAGAACGTGAGTTTACAATTTTCTTTTAATACTCCTCGTTAATTAATTGTCATAAATTTAGATATGAACATTTTGTAAATAGGTTTTAATAGTTGGTGGCGGTGATGGTGGAGTTGCACGCGAAGTTGCCAAACATCCGGGTGTTGAAAGAATAGTACAAATTGAGATTGATTCTATGGTAATTGAAGTATCGAAAAAATATTTGCCATTTATGGGGGTTGGATTGGAACATCCTAAACTTACGTTAAACGTAGGAGACGGGTTTGAATTTATGAAACAACATACACAAGAATTCGACGTTATTATTACGGACAGTAGCGATCCAATTGGTATGGAATCATTTTAAACATTATAATACCTATTATTATTATTATCATTATTTCT